AGCTGCTTGTGGTAGATCCCACCATTGAGTTGATTGCCAGTCTCATCATGGGGCATAACCAGCACCAGCTGCCCACCCACTCGACCAGGCCCAGCCAGGTTGACACACAAAATAACCACCACATCAGGAGCCCATCTGAAAGTTTAACAGAGAGAACTGGCAAAGGGAACCCTCCTGGGGTCAGAGCAGATATCAAAGACTGGCCTCAATGACAAGCCCTGCAAAGCAGCCCAACTTTAATTGGATCAGACAATATGCCCCAGCAGTCTGTCAAAAACAATAGCACAATGGGCTAGTAATTAGTGGAGGACCCCTGGTGGTGCTGTGGTTAAGCACTTGCCTGCTAAATGAAAGTTGGGGGTTCCATGAGAGACAGATGTGGCAGTCGGCTTCCTTAAAGATGTACAGCCTTGGAAACCCTATGGGGCAGTTCTACTCTGTACTATAGGGTTGCTGTCAATTCGATTTTGACTCAGTAGCAATGGGTTCAGTTGAGGTTCATCAGCTAGGTGTAATACCAGTAGAGGCAGATTAGTCAGAAGCTTAACAAAGAGGTCAGGGAGCAACTGCAGACCATCCAGCTAGAGCACAGTCATCCATTAGGTGAGGGGAGGCTCAGAGACTCCACACTGTGGCAAAATAGATGTATCACTGAACTAGTCCTGCCAAATCACAAAACAAATCAACAAGCAAACAACAAGTCCTCTTCAGGGGTAGGGGATCATTTACAGAGTTGCTACAGTATATTACTAAAATGTTCATTTGTCAACAAAAAAATTAGGAGATACAAACAAACAGGAAAATATGGCCTATGCACAGAAAGAGAAAAAAGGCAGAAAACAAAAACTGACATTGAGAAAGTAGTGACACTGGACTGATCAAAGAAAGATTTCAAAATAGCTATTTTGTGTGTGTGTGTGTGTGTGTGTGTGTAGGTTCAAAAACTGAAGGAAACTGCATAAAGAGTTAAAAGATGACACTCTCTCATCAAACAGAGAATATCAATAAAGAGACAAATTCCTTAAAAAAAAAAAACTAAATGGAAATTCTGGAGTGGAAAAGTACAATAACTGAAGTGAAATATTCACTAGACAGGATCAACAACAGATTTGAGCTGGCAGAAGACAGAATCAGCAAACTTTAAAACAGGTCTGTAGAGTTATACAATCTGAAGAACAAAGGAAACAGAACCAAGAAAAACGAACAGAGCCTCCGAGAAACATAAGACAGTATTAGGCACACCAATATATGCATAATTGGATATCTACAGGAAGGAAGAGAGAGTAAGGAGGAGAAAGAATAAAGAAATAATTCAGAGAACACTTCCTGGATTTGACTGAAATACTAATGTGCACATCCCAGAATCTCAACAAACTCCAAGTAGGATAAAACAGAGAGATACACAGTTAGGCACATCACAGTCAAAATGCTGGAAATCAGAGAAAGAAACAAAACCTTGAAATCAGCAAGAGAAAAATGACTTGTCACTTACAAGGAAACCCCAATAAGATTAACAGCTGACTTCTCATCAGAAACAATGGAGTCCAGAAGGCACTGGGATAACATTTTCAAAGCGCTGAAAAGAAAAAAAACTGTCAACCAAGATTCTTACATCCAGCAAAACTCTTTCAAAAACGAGGATCAAGATATTCCGAGATAAACAAGAATTAGGAGAATCCATTGCTAGCAGACCTACCTTACAAATAGTAATAAAGTAAGTTCTTCATGATGAAAGCAAGTGACACCAAACAGTAATCTGAATCCACAAGAACAAACCAGGCACACAGATAAGGGTACCTGTGTAGGTAATTATAAAACCAGTGTGGGTTCATGTTTCTTTTCCTTTCTTCTCTTAACTGATTTAAAAAACAATCACATAAAACAATATTATGGTTGCATTACTGTCAGCCCTTTAACATATAAAAATGTAATGAATTTGAAAATAGCAGCACAAAGGTGGTAGATGGGAGCAAAGCTGCATTATAGTAAGGAAATGACATCAGATAATAACTTCAATTCACAGACAGAAATGAAAAGAGCCAGAAATGGTAAATAAGAGGCTAATAAAACAAACTCTATAAATTTATCATTGCTCTCCTTTCTTCTCTCAACTTCTTTAAAAGTCATGAAAGTATAAAAAGTAATATAACAACATATCATTAGGCTTGTAACATATATAGACAATATGTGTAACCACAATGTAAGAACTAGAAATCAGTAAAAGAAGGAAATTTTGGAAATTCACTAATATGTGGAAGTTAAATGACACATTTATAAATAACAAATGACTCAAAGGAGAACTCTCAAGGGAAATTAGAAAACATTTTTAAATGAATGACAACAAAAACATAACATACTGAAATTTACAGGATGCAGCTAAAACAGTGCTTAGAGAGAATTATGGCTCTCAACACTGATATCAGAAAAAAGAAAGCAAACTATCCCATCATGAACCTAACCTTTTGCTTCAAGAAACTAGAAAAAGAGCCGCAAACTAAACCCAAAGCAAGCAATAGGAAAGAAACAATACTAAAACAGGAACAGATAAAATAGAGAAAAATCAACCAAGTCCAGTTAGTTCTTTGAGAATATGAACCAAATTGGCAAATCTTTAGCCAGACTAAAAAAGAAAAAGCTTGACTGATAAAAAGAGAGATGACTAATTACTAAAATCAAGAATGAAAGACAACACTACCAAGCTTACAAAGTACATGCACGTGTGTGTGTATGTGTGTGTGTGTGTATATATATACATATATATGCCAACAAGTTAGATGACTTAGACGAAAAAGACAAACTCCTAGAGAGACTACAGTGTAGTAAATTATATAATATGGCTTTTCTAGCCATAAGTCTTTGTAAACTGTGGTGGAATTTGCTGTGAGCAACTGAGTAGCTCCTGATTGCTAAAGTTATCCACCTGGGGTATTTCTGTTGAAGCAGCACAAAGCAATCTTCTGGGAAGTTCGCTCTCTCTCAGGTGTATAGAATTCTGATGTTGGGCTTGGTTAGTTTGGTCACTCTGCCAGGCTCAAAAGGAGCCCTTCTAGAGGCAGAAAGGGTCTCTCTGACTGCTGGCTGAGAAAGACTGCTGCTGAGAGAAACACGCTCCTGAGAGGCATAAGAGACACATGCTGCTAAGAGAGAGATGCAACAGACATGCACTATTGAGAGAGAGACACGAGAAACAAACTGCTGAGAGAGTGATCTGCTACTGAGACTGCCAGCTGCTGAGTGAGACGGCCAACTGTGGGAGGCTGAGTGCATTTCTGAACTTGAATTGTAGCCTGTTGCTTCCCTAATAAACCCCATAATCTGTGAGTTCTATGTGACCATGGCAGCGAATTATCAAACCCAGCAGAGAGGTGTGGGTGCTGCGAGAGGAACGGTTGGTGAAAGGGCTGGAGGGAGGCAACATGTCTGGCCTCACAGGCATAGGCCTTGGGCTACTGATGGCGATTCTGTCTTCCTCCTGTGGGGTTAGAAGAGGTCAGAAGATGCTGCCTCCTTGCCTCTTTGGCAAAGACAAACAACAAAACTGACTCAAGAAGAAACAGAAATCTGAATATACCTATAAAAAGTAGATATTGAATAATCAAAAACTTATCACAAAGGAAAAAAAACCACAGTAAATTCTACCAAATCTTTAAAGAGGAATTAATACCAATACCTCAGAAGCTCATCCAAAATATAGAAGAGAAGGGAACACTTCTCATTTTATAAGGCCAGAATTATCCTGATGCTAAAACCAGACAAAGACATCACAAAAAATAGACAACTACAGACTAACATCTCTTGTAAATATAGACACAAAAAGCCTCAACAAAATACTAGCAAACAGAATCCAGCAACATAGAAGGAGGATTACATACCATAACCAAGTGGGCTTTAATCCCAAGAATGCAAAGTTGATTCAATAAATGAAAATCAACCAGTGTAATAAACCATAAAAATAGAATAAAAGAAAAAAAAATTACATGGTATCTCAACAAATACAAGGAGCTCTGGTAGCGTAGTGCCTAAGGCACTTGACTGCTAAACCAGAAGGCTGGCAGTTCAAACCCACCAGCCACTCCTCGGAAGGAAGGTTGGGCAATCTATTTCCATAGTGATACTGCCTCAGAAACCCACGGAGGGGTCACTATGAGTCGGGTCCAACTCCACAGCACATAACAACAACAACACAACAAATACAGAAAGGCATTTCACAAAATTCCATACCCTTTCTTGATTAAAAAAAAAAAAAACACCCAACAAAGAAAGAACCTTACTTAACCTAATCAAGGGCATCTATTGAAAATCCAGAGCTAACATCATAGTTAATCAAGAAAGGTGGGATGCTTTCCTGCTACGATCACAAACAAGACAAGGGTGTCCATTCGCATCACTTCTATTCGATATTTCACTACAAGTTGTAGGCAGGGTAACTAAGCAAGAAGGGAAAAAAAAACATCCAGGTTGGAAAAGAAGAAGTAAAACTATCTCTATTTGCAGATGACATAATCTTGTAAAAGAAAGTCCTGAAGAATCCACTTAAAAGCCATTAGAACAAGTTCAGCAAAGGTTGCATAATACAAGATCAGGGTTCAGAAAGCAATTGTATGTCTACAAAGCAACAATGAACAATCCAAAGTAAAACTGAGAAAACGATTCCATTTACAATGGCATCAAAAAGAATAAATTACTTTGGAATAAATTCAAAAGAAGTGTGAAACTTGAACTCTGAAAATCACTGCCTCACACACGCACATGCACACACACAAGGAAAAGCAGCAGGCTTCTAGTACTACCTCATGCTGGAAGAGGGCAGGGCTATGAGTCGTTAGTCACTGTGCACATGGCCAGGCTTCAAAGACATGCGTACACGGCCACGGGGCAACCATGGTGGCACACGACACAGAAGGAGCAGAGCCACAAAGGGTGCAACAAGCACCTTCCGGTGGCAGCCTCATGCGGCGTGGTACGTACCCAGATAGGAGCGTCTGAGGGGGGCTCTGAGTTCTTCCTCCTTACCATCTGGCAGGGTCGTTAACAGAGAGAGAAACAGGAAGAGGGAAAAGACAAAGCAGACTGGTTTTAACACTGGTCAGCGCATGTGTTTCCAGACCTCTGTTTTTCTCAAAAACAAGCCAACCCTTGGAACTGAAAGATCACAATGTTTTGGTTTCTGAACTATTTTTATCCAAAGCTACTTTTTTTCAATATTATAAGAAAGTACACAGGGGCGGGAGCAAGGAATTAGGCCAAAAGTAAAGTGGTCACATCTTCATTTCAGTTCTAAGGCCACACGTGGCTTTTACCTGCCTTCTGTGCTACGGACACGTGACACTGCAAAGCCCACTTCTCTTTGTCCCAGAAAGTACCGTGTGCTTCGCGCTTTTGCTCTCTGAGAGCTTTAGCTGCTGGACATCTGCCCCTGCGGCAAACAGGACCAATTCAGAAGATGGTTCATAAAGCTGTTTCAGAGCCCATGTGATGAGGAAGTGCCCACAGAAATGGGGAGTGGATGCACGTGACTGGCAGCCACATGGTGCCAAGTGACCCACATGCCCAGCCGACCCACAAGCACCTGAAACAACCTGCTTAACTTCAACCAGGAGCACGTGTGTCTCCCTAACCAGGACCTTCCTGGACCCCGTTGCTCCTCAGCAGCCACCCAGAGGCCCTCCCAGCATGAGCCGAGCAACTGAAGGGAACGAAAAGTGTTCAAAAGGAAGAGTGACACTCGATTGGGGTGGGGTTAAAGGTTGTGTGTCCCTGGCCACGTAGAATCACCTTGACTGGAAACTTCGCAAACAAACCGCTAAAAGCAAACACTAGACAAAGTTCACCCCTGGACTGGGTGTCCACAGACGCCCCTAGATGCTGCCAGTGGGGGTTGCGGCATTCCAGGAAAGCGGAGGCTTTATGAGGACAAACTGCAGCCCTCACCCTGCCCCTGTCCTGCGCCGCCTCCTGTACCACGACGACGACACCAGTCTGCTGGGTTCCTGAGCTCTCTGCTTTACTTCTTTGCCTCTGACCAATCTCTCCAGTCACTGGTTCCTCCCCTCAGATCACAGTCCCAGAGGAAAGCCCATCAGCACAGGGCAGGAGGACACATGATGGATGAACACAGGAAAGTGGTGTCCACATGACGGCTCAGCTGTTCCCTTGTCATCTTGCAGGCTGACCACACTGACAGCAGCGGGCAGAGTCCCAGGGTCCATTTGGGCAGGTGCTAGGAGCATGGCAGGGAGCAAAGGAAGGAAGGGGGAGGGCACACGTGTGGGCTAAAGGACGTGTGTACAGGTGGGAGGAGCAAGACGGCCACGGGTAGGAGGACTCAGACTGCACACGGACTGCGCTGGCATGGTATCAAGCCACCTAAGGGTTCCTGGCCAGAAAGCAGGATGAGTAGATGTGTCTTAGCAGAGTGTCTTGGTGTAGGATGGACAAAAAGGGGCCGCCCGAGCTGAGAGGGCAGCTAGGAACGTTCTCAACAGGCAGCATTTCTGCAGATTCCTCCACCAGCAGCCGGGAGTCCAACGGAGCAGGTCACGTTTCCAGAGATGGCCACAGCAGCATCTCCACCCCACTCCCCTGCAGGAGGTGGAGTCCACATCCTCTCCCCTGACTATGGGTGGGCTTGTGTGCTGGATGACTTCCAAGACTAGCTTCTGTAGGGCTCTCTCTCTGGGAGCACTTGCCCTTGGAATCCAGTTCCACAGCCCAGGTCACATGGGGAGGCCAAACATAGAGGCTCCGTGACAGCCCCAACTGAGATCCTGGTGACAATCAGCATCTACTCAGACATCGTGTGAGCTGCAGGCGACTCCATCAGACGTCGAACGGAACAGGGACAACCTGTCCCTGCTACATTCTGATCAAACTGTAGGTTTGGGAACAAAAGAAATGTTCTTTTAAGCCTCTCAGTTTGGGATAGTTTTTCAGGGAGCCATAGTGAACAGAACAAAAGATGATTTGGCAGAAGGTCACCTGAGCTGACACCCAGCAGAGTCAGAAGCTCTGGGTGGTCAGCTGACCAGAGACCAGACCTCCATCTACCTCCTGAGGGTAGTCACGTGATACCTGAGACCCACAGCTGCTGGAAGGGGTGCCAGGATCCATTGGAGCTCAGCCTGGAAGAGGAAGGGGCGGTGCCACAGGCAGATGCAGGACAAACTGGAGACAGAGCACAAGTGACTGGACACAGAGACGTGACCCAGAAGTCCAGGCAATCCTGGCACGGGCCATGCCAGAGCTGGGCAGGGGGCAGGACAGGGCAGGCATCTGGAGCCTGATATCCAAGGGTGTCAGCAAACCCTCCAAAGGCCTGTGTATAAACACCATCCAGCTTCCATTCTCAGAAAGGTATTTGACACCCACCCCAAAAAATTCTTCACTGAAATCTAATTTACATAGCAAACAACATTCACCCTTTTAAAGTGGTTTTTAGCATATTCACAATGCCTCTCAACTATACAGTTAGCAATGGTTAAGATGGCAAATTTCATGCCATATAGATATAGATACACATATACATATCTTTTACTGCATCAAAATAAAAATTAAGTTAAAAAGAAAAAACAAAAACTCTTGGAAAATATATACCAAACTGTTCACAGATCTAAGGAAGGGGGGGAACAAAAGCATATTTCCTTCTGCATTATTTGCATGTGTTAATATAAAATATGTGCTGTCAAATTTGTACGTATGCGTGCATGTGCATGTGAGTGCGTGCATGTGCATGTGAATGCATGCATGTGCATGTGTGCACGTGTGTGTGTGTTCTTTTAAGGTCCAACAGGGCAGGAAGGAGTGAAGGAAGAACCCAGAAGTGCCGAGCACACCTGCCTCCCCAGCCGTGGTTTGGCACTTACTCAGCATGTGGACTAAGCTGCTCTGAGGGACAGGAGCTGTGGTGAAAGGCGTTGCCACGCTCTTTGGGAGAAGCGTAGCACGGATGCTATACCTCTGCTCTGGCTTTCCTTCCCACGCCTAGATTTCCGCCAAAGTTACAGCAACTTCAAGTTGAACCTATTTCCCCCTAGTTAAACCTTGGCTGGGGCAGGCAGGAAAGAAACAGGTTTTATAAAAAGTACTGGCATAGTGCATAGGCACCTGACTGCTAACCAGAAGCCTGGTGGTTCAAACCCACCAGCCACTCCTTGGAAGGAAGGCTGGGCAATCTACTTCCGTAGAGACACCACCTCGGAAACCCAAGGAGGGGTCGCTATGAGTTGGATCCGACTCAATGGCAGTGGTTTAGGGTTAAGGGCCCATCAGGCAAGAGTCAGGCTGCCATCTGACCAGCCTTCCCTCCCTGCAAACTGTCTGCAGGTCAGCCGGGCCAGTCCGTTCTGGAACTCTGGGTGAGATTTGGGACATAAATTTGACCACCTGACTCTGAGCCACTGACAACTGTTTCTCTAATAAATCCAAAGATAAATGAAACATGAACAATATATTACAAAGTAACATTTTTAAAAAGCAAAAATAAATAAAATGAAACAAATTTTCAGCCTGAATTGTTTAGTTTCAGCCCCACCCCCACCCCCACCAGACAGATAAGGAAACAAACTCCACCTTTCATTAAAGCCCCAAGAATGGCCTTAGGAATCTCTTGTGAATTCTCATGACAGACAGACAGGCAGACACACACACACACACACACACACTGTGGCCCTGCTGACTCTCCATCTGCGGTCACTGCAAGGCCCAGCAAAGTCTTAGGGTCGGACAGCCCTGTGGAGGCAGCATCTGCGTTAACCAAAGACCCCCACACAGAGGAGCACAGGCTGGGCAGGCCTGGGGCAGCAGGACCAGGAGCCCTGCGTGTGCTGGTTCTGAGCAACTGGATTCACAGACGTCACCCATGACGCTGGGCACAAGTGTCCTCGCTGCTGTAACCAATGTCCACAAACTGAGGCCGTAAAACAACGTAAGTTTACTCTCGTCGTCCTGGAGGCCAGTCCAGAATCAAGGTGTCAGGCAGGTGTGCTCTCTCTGCAAGCTCTGCAGGAGAATCCTTGCCTGTTCCAGGTTCTCATGACTGCAGGCACTCCTTGGCCTGTGGCAGCCTCTCTCTAATCTTTGCCTCTGTCTTCACATGGCCACCTTCCCTCTGTGCCTCTGGTCTCTTCTTCCCTTCTTATAAGGGCACCAGTCACTTGACATAGGGCTCAACCTAAACCCAGGATGATCGAATTGCAGGACCGTTAACCACTGTCATCTGAAAAGACCCTATTTCCAAATGAGGTCACAGTCCAAGGCACTGGGTAGACATGAATCTGGGGGACACTACACTATGGGTAGATGTGAATTTTGGGGGGACACTACAGTATGGGTAGTCAACAATCATAGGTGGCAACATCAGCAAAGTTGCCAGAAAAACCAGATACATTGGGGTGAGGCACGCTGCTTACTGCTGCCTGGCCTCAATGCCCCAGGAATTCCAGAGCAAGCATGTCAACGGTCAACATCGCCAGCAGAGAGAAACCATGACTGTCTACTGGGGAAAGCACTCCCCAAACTCTAAGAGCAGAGGAAAGGAACGGAGGCAGACAGATGAGTGTCCTACTGCTGCAAGTTTCCACAGTTGGTGGCTCAAAGCACCACACAGTTCTCTCTTACAGGTCTGGAGGTGAGGCTTCCAACATGGGTCTCACGGGACTCAACTGAGGTGTTGGAAGGGCTGTGTCCTTCTGGAGGTTCCAGGGGAAAGCTTGTTGCCTGCTCACTAAGGTGTTGACAGAATCTAGTTCCTGTGGTTGTAGGACCAAGGTCTGGGTTCTCAAGGGGAATGTGATGAGGATGTCCCAGCACCCAGAGGCCCCGCATTCCTCAGCTCATGGCCCCTTCCTCCATCTACAACACGTGAGTGAGTCAAGTCCCTCTCGTGTCATCTTGTGACCTTTCACTTTGACCTTTTGAGACCATGTGAAGAGATCAAGCCCTCAGATACCCCAAGGCAATGTATCTCAAGGTCTGTAACCTGAGTGTGACCTGCAGACTCCTCCTACCACATCAGGTACCATTGATGGTCCTGGAGACCGGGCATGGATTGCCCTGGGGGCTGCTATTTTGTAAAAATAACAGATTCCAGCCATTTCCTGGAAATTGAGATTCACCTTTGTAACTAAATCCCCCTTAACTCCTGTGGGAAGAATTTATGTAGAACATTGGAAGTAAAGGGAGAGCAATCAGCTATCATCTGTCACAGCCAACACTCTAAAACTTCTCTGTCGTGGACTGAATTGTTTCTCCTAAAAATATGTCAACTCGGCTAGGCCATGATTCTCAGTATTGTGTCGTTGTCCTCTATTTTTGTACCACCTGATTATCCTCCATTTTGTGACGTGCAGTAAATCCTAGCCTCTATCGGAAACCCAAGGAGGGGTCGCTATGAGTCAGGGCTGACTCGACGGCACATAACAACAAACAACAACATGCCTGTGGTTAAGGAGCTCTGGTGGTATAGTATATAAGGCATTTTGACCAGAAGTTCAGCAGTTCAAACCTACCAGACAATCTGGCAAAGGAAGATGGGGTGATCTACTTCTATAAAGATTTACAGCCTTGGAAACCCAATGGGTGTCGCTGACTCAGAACCGAATCCATGGCAGTGAGTTTGGTTTCTTGGCATGCCTGGTAATCAGAAGTTTGGCAGTTCAAACCTACCAGCCACTCTGCAGAGGGAAGACTGGGCAATCTATTTCATAAAGATTTATCACCTTGGAAACCCTAGGAATCAACTCCTTGACAGTGAGTTTGGTTTTTGGGTCTTTTTTTTTTTGGTGGTTATGGTCCCACCTGGGGGTGAATTGTCTGTTATGTTAATGAAGCAGAATTAGGTCATGATGATGAGGATTTGGTTAGATATGTCATGTTAATGAAGTAGGGTTAGGGTGGGATGTACCCTGAGTCACCACCCTTCCCCGCTCTACAAGAGGTAAAGCAGAAACAAGCAGAGAGGACCTCAGTGTCACTCAGAAGGAGCAGCGGGGAGCAGAGCGTGTCCTTCGGAGCCAGGGTCCCTGTGCTAAGAATCTCCTAGACACAG